CTATGTGTTAAATTTAATTTAACTTCTACGTCTTTATTTGTTTATATTTTTAATGATGAAAACAATTTCGAGTAAAGTGGATCAGAAAAACCCAAGGATCATTTCTGAGGAACTATTCGCAAAAAGAATACAAAATTATGCGCTAAACGCGTTTGATAAGCGCCCACTTCCTGAGAATTACTGGCCATGTTGTGAAGCAGTTCTGAAGTGGCGCCGGAGACTACACAGGTTGCCGAATGTAATTTTACCTTCTGAGTTTTTTGAAAATCTCAGAGCGTTTTCTAGAGCTGTTGTGTTGTAACAATGCTCCTCTCCAGCTCCCAAGCAATAGCTCCACGAACGGACTGGAACGTTAGTTGTTTTAGCTGATCAAATAGAATCTTTGTCCTTACTGCCTTCTCTGGCGCCTTGTACGGAAAACGATTCCGCTCCTCTCTTCTAAAACTGTTTTTTGGCAGCAGCTGTCAAAATATGTCAAGACAGCCGACACCACTTTCGCAAACAGAGTCAGTATGATCACTGTTTGTATGTTAAAACAGCTGTGTAAGCTACTCAGCCTCCGTCGCTTTTTTGACTGAATCTGCTGTTTGGCGACTCGGTCTGCTGGATCCAGGAGCATATTTGGCATTCAGGTTGAGCGCACTGTGTTGGTTAGCACATTTTGACCATTCACCATGACGGTAGGCCTACAGCCAAAGCCGTGGTGAGCAGCATTATTTCGTTAAATAACGACTAGCTTGCCCGTGGTTAGCGTTACTGCGCTAACATAGTTTAGCAATAGGTCGATAATGTCGAGCTTATGACTAGAGTATGCAGCAGCCAATCGTCCTCGCATTGTGATATGCTTTATCATAATGCATTCCAAAGAAATAAACAGTCAGTGTGTGCTCGTTGGAAAACCACTGGCAAGAAGCTGTATGATAGCAGCTGAGCTGATAATATGGTGTCCGTTAAACTTGTATCAGCTTGTGCACTAAACATTAGAGAGAACTTCCTCCATATGGCTCTTGCTAAATTGTCGTTTTTATCTTTTGAGGCTTACAGTGCATTTTTAGGGTAAGCTTTTTCCAACGCACACTAATGTTTCTTATCCATTAGCCCTAGCGAAATTTGCTGATGCTAGCAAGTAACTGCCGCTTGGCCGTAGACAGTACTTTGCTGTCCCAAACTCCAGAATCACGAAGAAGTTTATATAAAATAAAAGTCGACGCTTGACGGAGGGCGGCTGTTCATTCCGAAGTGATGCATAATGATCTTCCAATCTGTTTTAGCGTGTGAAAATAAACAGAAATTGCGTATTTTTTCGTTCTTGAGCTGTATCATCTAAATTAATTCTGAAATCATAATTCAAGAAGCGAGCGTTACAAAGACTAATTTCAAGTTCATAGTTTCATGCATGATCAAGGACTGTTTATTCTTCGTATCTTCTAGACTATGGTCTTGATGTTCTTGGTATATGCACGCATAGATGTGGCTTCGCTGTGATATGTTTTTGCATAATTTAGTACGGGAAAATACATAACCCAGACTGGAACTCACCAGGCTTACCGGTGCAATCATGCGTTTTTGCATTAAACTCGCAAATCGCTAATAGCAGAAATGATTCCTGCACTGCAGTTTAACACTTGGGCTCATATTGGCCGTGCTTTGGCCCTTTTCGGCATGTAGGAGGAAAGCTGTCGGTTGGGGTGAAGGTAGTGCATTGTAGACCACACGGGCCTTCCAAGTACATGGTTATCAGTTTTTTGCATGAAGATTGGTCGTTTTTTCGGTAAATGCTCGCTTTTTGAAAAAATGAAAAATGCAAATTTCCAGTTCACTAAAAAGTGGAA